GGGATAATACTTGTCACTTAATTTGCAAGTTTGATGGTTATCGGTTAATCTACTGAGTTCTGTCACTGATAGTTTAAGTTCAATCTCTAATACAGCAGGCTTTAACTTTTTCTACCCATGAGTTTATTAAAAGGTACCTTTAAGTACTTATATGTATTGTATAATTATGGATTTGTGTGTATTTTATAATTATTTAGATATGTGTAAGTAGTTTTATGATGATCATGCAAATTACAGTGTTTATTTCATTATCTTTCTTTACATAATTTTAAATGCTTTTCCTACTTTTTAATCCTTTAATCTCAAGGTTGCAAAGTTATGCGTCGAATATTGAAACCTAAACAGGACAATCATTAGATTCCTTAGATAGGTAAAGTTACAGAAATAAAACTTAAAAGTAATTTTAATTACATTAATATGGGTTGAAAGTTGTTAATTTCTTTGGTACTTTTTATTTATCTATAAAAATATTTTTTCACTTCGATTCGTGTTTAAATTTAATTTGAAAATGATTTACAGGTACATGTGTATCGTAAGAGCCGACTAAGGGAGTGAACTCTGCAGGATAACAGCACTGCGAAGAGAAGGATAACTTAAAACAAAAACTGTACCAACCGGTCTGGCCAGCGTGGTATAGTAGGCCAAACCTCATTTTTGACGAGAGGCCTATGTCCAGCAGTGGACTATTAAAGGCTGTTGATGATGATGAATTAGCAGAAAGTAGTATCCTAATCCTATCCTAAACTTCGTAACAATCTGTAACGCCAATAAATAATTAAACTATTAAACTATTGCCATTACGATAGTTTTTATTGTTTCGATGCGGCTCTTGTGTAAATGACCCAATAAACTGTAGATTAAAATTATGTGTAGTTTGCTAAGGCCGGTACCTCTGGGTCTCGCCTAAACGTAATAATGCAGAAGGGCTCCATCCCCAGGAGACCACATTAAATTGCGACATTTATTTGGTTACCGTTAGCTACATGTTTTGGGCCCAACCTTAATGGCTAGTTTTAAAGCTATATCGATTTTGTTTAGGGAGGCGAGTTTGTTATTTATTACTTTCATTTATATTATCCGGATAGTTCTAGCCGGAGGCCTCAACTGTGAGGAATTTGGTTTCTTTGTTTACTATTACTTTGGGGCCAAATCTTTTTTAAACTAAGTATTAATTTATTCTGTTTATATAAAGACAAGTTGTTTTGTGTCTTAAGTTTTGTGCGAATACTTATAATGCCAGTTTTAATCCCAAAATTAATATGTTCATCATAACTGGGCCCTTTAAAGTTACGTATTCTCTAGCTTTTATCTTAAAATAAGTGTCATTAAACTGGCTATTATTTACAGAATCTGCACCTACATAATTGTATTATCAATGAGCCTAGACATATACCCTTCGTCTGGCGTGATTGTTCACCTACAATAGTTTACCTGCAGTACAGAACTTGCCAGCCGACACACCACCTATCAATACAAGTCTAGACTACCACGTTATTGTCATGTGTCTACAATATACATGTAGTTTGAATAAATTTGTCATAAACCAAGAAGAATCACGTGTTTATTTATTATGTTTAGTCATTTTAGGTTAAGATAAAATATGATCTGTTCTGGACATGTAGATAATAAAAAAATCTGGATCGCTAAGAAATTTTTGATTCTAAGGACTATTCACATTAATGGCTAGGTGCTTTGTGGTTTTCTGCACATAACGTTCCTTTATTTCTCGTGAACAACGAGTGTAATTCTCAAGGGATGAAACCGTTAAATCTGGTTTTCGAAACTACTCACATTTTATTTTACAGGACTCCTCCCTGGGCTCATTGAGCTTAAGTTTTTAGCTTTAATTTTGAACCGGCTACACTATGTGCCGTTACACGTTCTGGTAATGATTTTATTACAGAAGCGTATTTACGGTAAAACTAATAATTGGTAGTATATTTTACGTTAATCTTTTCATATATTCACAGATTAATAGTTGAAATATAGAAAGAAAATATTGTGTGTTGCATACGCTTTAGGTGAATAAAATCCTTAATATAAATGTGCCCGCATATTTATGCCATTTCATTTCGCCAATTAGGCTTTTTTTAACCGAAAGCGTGATTTTGCATTAACTCATATTATCATATACATATCCTTTACGTTAGCATTACGTGCATCGATCCTACCCAATAATTTCCTTCCTTATAGAAAATAGAATAATAAAAAAATCGCCATACGAATAAGTGGTTTGATGTACATCACGGTTCTACTTATTCCGAACCCCTGAAGAGCAGCGACACCAAATAGCGGGGAACGAATTAATAATGAAACAAAGCGGCTTATATTTTAGGATAGGCCCCGAGTAAAACCGACCTTACGTGTCGTGCGATACGATCTTAATTGGTGGTAGCGCCTTTAGTATTTAGTGCAGCGGATGATCCCCCCCCCGCAGCCTGCCTGCGTCACTGAAGCTCTTTGTTTGAGCTGAAGAGCTGACTCTAATAGCTTGCACCGGATCCGTGCTTAAAAATGGACTTTTAAATATTTTATGAAGAAGTTGGGCGAACGGATAAAAGTTTAAAATTTGCATATCTACCGTATGCACAGCGTATGGACTGTACGGAAATAAATACAGTATTCAGTTTAGCTTAATTTACACATTTAGCTGTAGTCTGTAGCGGAATTCCGGTTGCGCGAACCTCTTAACCGATGAATTTTACTATGTTTACGGCAGGGTTGAACTATGCAACTTATAACTTATAATGTTTTGCAAACTGTTCATTTCAATTTACATTCCAGACGTATATTTTATAATAATGGCAATGGAAAATAGCATTTGTACATTAGATACAGACTACTTGGCATGAGATTTGTCTTTTGCCGTTTAAAGGCTATCTGGAAGAAATCACCGTTGGTGATAAGGCCACTAATTGTCATGCCTATATAAAATCATACAGAATAATATTTTTCTCAATGCTGTTCAATAAAAAACAGTAAGTATGGATTTCAGGACAAATTAAAATGATTATCAATATTCTATAACACATATCCAAGATAATAAAAAGTGTAACCGACGTAGATTGGTGTACCTAAATAAAAGTACATCCAAATAAGCTGTATTTTTATCCCGTGTTCTTTTACTGTTAGGAGTATAATATTTTCAAATTTAAATGAGACCCGCATTGGTATTTTTTATAAAACTTGTGTTTTTATCATCAGGAAAATGTCCCGTTGAAGAAGAAGAAGAAGAAAACTTTACCTCCGTTTCCAGAAAATAAAGCCTATAAAAATTATTTATTTACTAAGTAGGTTAGAAAACGAACTTGAAGTCTCGCCTCCCACGCCCGTTTAACTTAAACAGTTAGTTATTCACAAGTTTTGCAGTAAATAACTAGGTTTGTTTTTCTTCATCGTAAGATTATAAACGCGGGCTTTCCAATTTTAAATAGTGTCTACGTTAAAATAGTGGTTCAGTATCGTATCTCAATGTCAGAATTTTACTCACATTTTGTTTATGACAAAGTTAGGACCAGTCGTGACACGGCCAGTAAGTGGAAAAGTTATATGGGACCCTTGTTTATTTCAGATAGTTTAGGTACCGGCCGCTAGATAATTTGTTTAGTAAATTACCACCTCGCTGACTAGCCGTTTGGTTAATAAAATATGTGGTGGAGCCTCACTAACTTTTAAAATTAATTTTATTGTTTGCAAGTAAAATTACATGAAACGTATGTCCGAGAATAGTTTACTTTATATTCATTTGGTTGTTGTTTGTTTTGGTTGGTTAACATGTTTCGTAATATTCTGGTATAATATACTCGTATAAATTCATCAATATATAATTTTGATGTTATACATATCGCGATAAGAGACTTCATTTGGCATAAAAAGTTTGGATGGGTTTAGCAAGTGCTTAGATTTACACCGGGATAAATATAAATGTGAAGATATAAACCATTATAACAAGAACTAAATAAAGTATAGTAGGAGATATAGAGACATTTTTCAGAGATCCACCGCAAAAATGCTTTACGGTGTTTTTCGGACTTGCTAAAGTGTTCGATAAAGTTGCAGTGATTATTATTCATAAAACAAACCACTAAGTCCTGCAATCAGAATATTTGAAATATCTAGAATATAAATAATAACGACAGACTCACATTTGCACATAGTATTAAATAAATAGGAAAATAACTAATAATAAAATATAAATAAGGTTTTATTTGGTAAATAAGTAGGTATACTTATTTACAAAATAAAACCGTTTTACAACACAACCTACAAAAAAGGCATTTGTAAGGAATTACTCGAAACTAGTTTTTATTTCTATTGCGTATTGAACGAGCTCAAAGATCAATTTCGAAGGCTATGAAAAGGAAACCTTTTAGATTCTTCATCAATTGTTAATAAGAGGCATTTATACTGAATCGACAAAATACATAACCTTTTAAACGTTATAGCTTTTAAACGTAAATTTATTCCACCACCACCACCAACAGCCTATAACAGTCCACTGCTGGACATAGGCCTCTCCTTAGAAAGGAGGTTTTGGCCTACTATACCACGCTGGCCAAACGGGTTGGTATAGAGTTTGTTTTAAGTTTTCCTTCTGTTAGCAGTGCTGTCGTCCTGCGTAGTTTGCTACCTTAGTCGGCTCTTACGACACCCACGGGATGAATAGGGGTGGTCACATTCCGTATTCTTAATCCGTCACCACACGGACAATAACAAGAGAAATTTATTCTACTGAAACTCATTTAGAGTTTAAGTAAAATTGCTTTTATTTTTACTTGTAAGATTTTAAAATAATTGTAATATTCAACACACACGAACGAACCTCTTAATGTCAATCTTCTCTTACTGTCATATTAAATAACAGTATTTTGTAAAGTGTATTAATTCTACATCTTTTATTATGAATTATAAGTTTGCATTTACAAAAATAAAAAAAGACACAGTACTGGTCTGTGAAGCTAGAACTGTTAAGACGTGTATTTATTATGCATGTAACATACCTCTAGTGCCAGTGAAATTCCAGTCCGAGTCATGTGTATGAGTGCTTCTAGCGTAGGGGGTGCGCCGCGAGCGGTTGGCAGGAACCTTCAGACGACCCTCGGACACTAGGCAAATATACACCTTTTACAATCCGAAGGCATTTGAAAGACCTTGCTTTCAAGGTAGAAATAAAAACGGCACAAACACTACCCTTAAAAAGTTTCTTAGTAGGCGCCTTGGGATCATTTACAAACTTGAAAGCATTTTTATATAAGAAAAGTTATCCAATCAAATTTTTTAATTGTTCTTTTAAATTTTAAGACTAAGAGGGTTTTATTTATCTTATACCTTTATTTTTTTTTATAATTTCCATTGAAAATAAGTGGCTATTTTTTAATTTATACATATTTCATCTGTATATATTGGAAAGATTTATATTTTATTTAAATAGTATTGATGTAATGGAAAACTTACCGTCTATTAAATATTCGGCCACTCCGTAAGCCTGATCCTTCGTATTACTAACGAAGCATTGATAAACTCCTTGATCATCCCTCTGCGAATTTTTGATATGTAATCTTAGGCCGTCTTCAGATATCTTGACTCTTTCATTTGCCTTCACAATTCTCGCGTCATGTACCCAGTAGACAAGCTCTATTGGATGGCCCGACGCTTTACATTCGAATGTTATATTTGCGTTCGGTTTCATTCGTACTACTTCGGGTTTTATTCGGACGGAGATGGGTTCTATAACAAGCGGAAAAAACATGTGATGAATACATTATTTGTTCATTGCAGCAATAAATTTTTACGAGAAGCCCAATTAGGGCCGTAATACGGGAATAAATCAAGTTCCCAACAAAAGGAACCTAACATGTATTAAACGTATGTACTTTAAGTACAGTAAGGAGAGAGACGATGCTTTGTGCTTTTTATGTATAGATTCTCCGTCACTTGTTTATTATTATACTCGTAAGACATGTCAAAGATATGCCTTTGTTTTGAAAGGGACTGTTGACACACTTGTTGACACAATATTAACTTAACTGCTTGTAGACAGTATTGGCATCGACAAGCATGTACATTTCTCTCGATGCATATCGCGCGATCTTTTTAATCAACAATATGTTATACACGTTCCATTAAAATGAAGAACTACTTAAAATAATTATTCAAAGTCAAGTAAATGTTAAGCTGTCTTTGAAATAATATAATAAACGTCGTCCATCTCTGCTAGCATAGCGGGACATAAAATAACAAAGACAAATTGTCTATGGAATAGAGAGTTCATCATAGACTGAAATTATTATATGCAGCAATAAGAACAGGTAGGTCGGTAGGGATACAAGGCTTCGATAATAAGAACGGTAGAAACTATTTTTTAAATTAGTAGTTTCATGAATCGTAGTATTTGCAACTAAGGCCATTCCTTGCTACCTATTTCTGTAAGTATTTGTGAGGAGGTTTAGCATACTAGATTTCTATTAGAATTCAAGTGGTTCCTGTGATAGAAGAGAATTTCTGAAAAAACATACTTTTGTAACAGGGCGTAGATTTTGTTTTTCCCCATAAATACAAATACTTGTATGCTTCAATGGAGCATTGATCTCCATCTTTCTATAAACTTATAATATATATTAAGAAGAAAATTACAGTCATTTTAGAGTTAACGTTCTAGAATATTGTTAATATTTCGCTTACTCACCGGTGGAAAGAGAAGAAGTTAGTCAAATCATTTATTCAAGTGTTATCAAATGAGATTTAGTACCAAATATTAATAACTTGTAATTTTATATAAAAATTGCTTCTAACCTGTGACAATGAGAGTGAAGTGCACGGATTCTCCTCCAACAGTGTTATTTAGCCAGCACACGAATCGTCCAGCGTCTTCTTTTCTCACGGCCTGCAAACTCAGCAGACCACCACCAAATAGTCTTGTGCGGCCCCATAACGATGTCTTCTCTATGGGGATTAGTTCTTCGTGGTGTTCGCGAAACCACCTGTGTGTAAATATTAGTATTGTTTACTGACATACACACACATTTACATAATATGTATCACCGAATAAGTACCAATGTGTTTATATGACGTATCTATTAAACCATTGAATATTTAAAAGTAAAACTATAAAAAAATAATTTAAAGTATTTAAGTATCCCTGATAATTTTGTTTCAAATAAATGTAACCTGTTGGCTTTTAATTTTTTTGGGGGTACTCTGGACCATGGACCATACTAGAAGGCAGTAACACCCTGCGATGGCGGGTGCTTGCAATTAAAAATAAATAAATGAAAAAGACCCCTCTCCTTAAAAAAGAGGTTTTGGCGTACTACACCACGTTGGCCAGACGGGTCGGTATAAGGTATGTTTTAAGTATTCTTTTTCTTTGCAGTGCCGTTGTCCTGCGTAGTTTGCTCCCTTTGCCGGCTGTTACGACATCCACGGGATGAATATGGGTGTTGACACTTCGTATTCTTAATCCGTCACCACATGGATAACGCTGACTTTAATATACTTAAATAATGGTAAATTATAATAAGCTATATTTTGCATATCTTAATTTTCTATTTAAACGAGATTACTAACTATTTAATTCAAGTATAAAATACTTCAGTCAACCTGTTATTATCCATTATGTTTTATAAAATTTATTACTGGCGTTCATTTCCGTATTAATAATATTAGAAGTTGGCGAAAGTTTCAAGTTACTTCTTGAAATTGATTGTCAAATGGTGAAGATATATAAGTCTTCACCTTTTTCAAATCACATCACTGTCACAATTGATAAAGTAAAGATAATAATGTTGAAAGGTAAACAAATAATTATAATTAAAAATAATTATAAATAAATAAAGGTAAAGAAAGAAACGTAACTCATTAATTGATCTAAAATACTATACTAATCTTTGTGGAGCTAATGAATAAATTAAAGAATTAAAATATATATTGCTCATAACATAATCAACCTTTTTAAACCTTATATATATTGTATAATTATAGTTAAACTGCCGTAAGCTTGGCCCTCCTGATGGTTTGCGGGACGCGGGGCGGGTGATGCGCTCCGCTATACATGACACGATGTACTAACTCGATATGTTCAGATTTATTTGTTTGAGATTTAATGTACACACGATGTAATAAAAATCGAATTTATTTCCATGTATTATAATGCCAGTGTATTGTAAGTTTTTATGATTAATTCTAAAATTTAATATTGTAAAATAATTTTAATAAAATCACCTTATCTTCATCATGTAAATTATATTCAGATACAATTTAAAATACAGTCCGTGTGGTGACGGATTAAGAATACAAATTGTCACTACCCCAATTCATCCCGTGGGTGTCGTAAGAGCCGACTAAGGGAGCAAACTAAGCAGGACAACAGCACTGCAAAGAGAAGGAAAACTTGAAACAAACCCTATACCAACCCGTCTGGCCAGCGTGGTATAGTAGGCCAAAACCTCCTTTCTAAGGAGAGGCCTATGTCCAGCAGTGGACTAGTATAGGCTGTTGATGATGATGATGATGACAATTTAAAAATTAAGTAAAATAATAAATGTTCTTTATTAGAACTTTAACAGTAGAACCTATGTAAGCCGAACTTCAAGTTTTGAAATCTATTTGTGACGCAGAGTCGGCAGATTATCCATGTTGCAAAATAATACGGTGTGTAGCAGTCTTAAGAAAAATAACACGTACAGCCATCCTTTCACGTCAGTCACTGCCGGCGGACAGCGACGCACTAGCTAATTGATTGAATGTACCCCCGCCCCGCGTCCTCCAAACCATCAGGAGGGCCAAGCTTACGGCGGTTTAACAATAGTTTATAAGCCTTCTTAAATTCTAAAATAAAAAACCATTGATTCATTAGATGGTAATACATTTGTACTAGGCAGTTATAGTAATTTCGTTAGATACACGAACCACTCGTTATTGTTTGTTATTTTATTATCTAACTAAAGAGATTCGTTTCACAAATGATGTATGAATTGCACGACTGGATTTCCGTTCACCGCAGGCTGACTGGTCGATCAACCTAGAACAATAATTACAAGTCGAAACAAACCTACCACACCAGTGCTTTAGAGAAGCATAATTGGTAATGAAATAAAAAAAAATTGATCAACATAATTACATGTTACAGAAATATTATACTTCTTCCAAAATGCATGACAGTTTGTTGACAGGTGCAACTCCCTTGAAATATACAATACTAGTTATCGCTATATAGCCTACTCTTTACATAGAGGCCGCGGGTCGTCAAAAGTACAATTAATGAAAATTGTTATTTTTACATTGTTATTTCCCACGCTTTCTGACAGGCACTAATGTGTTTTCTTTTTATTAAATACTTGCCTTGTATATTATTTAGTATTATTCAAAAGAGCTAGCGTTAGTTTGTTAAAAAATTTAGGGACTTGGACTTTACAATTTAGGATAGGACTTTACCATTTAGGATCTGACTTTATAATTAAGAGAATTGTGTAAAATAATTTTGCTAGAGGAATGAATAATTAAAGTGACTAACTCATCAACTTTTTCGATCCTCGTTCGCTAAGACGCATCTGTTCCATATAAGACGTCTTACTCATTATTAATGTTCAGATTATACTATATATACGGCTGATTGCGTACAACCGCGAACCCAAACAAAGTTCGTGCGCTATCAACCATAGTTGATGTAATTTGTACTTAAATAAGTTCTAAGACTTGGCACTGCTTCAGTAAACTCGAACTACGAGTCTTTTCCAACTAACTTGGATAAATTTATGTACACCCCTGCTAGAAAATCAACGTAGGTAAGGGAACATGATGTACCTATTATTTAGAAACATTTCGGTTTTAAAATCATTTTTAAAGTCTTGTTTGACATTTGTAGTTGTGTCTTTTTCCTATACAGTAGGGAGATATTATTTAATTATACCAAATTACTTATTAAAAAACTAAAATATATTAAGTTGGATATTATATTCTAGTAGGTATTAAGAGAATCTCGTCTAGAGAATCTTATGTCTAGTCACACTGAATACCTACTTGCATTACTCAGTATTTATAAAACGTGATCATCGGTACTTCTGATACACAAAATAACCTGTTAGAAAATCACACTTGAGAGGGTCGAATATCAGAATGAACATGTATCTTTAATTCTGGTATTCGACCCGTATTGTGTTTACAATAAAATGACATCATAACAACATCGAGATAAAATACTCGTGCAAACTGTGTTTTAAGACTTGGTACCTCGCTTTTCTGATTTAAAATGCTAACATTAGGCTATTGGAGAGATTTTTATACAAGACTTTGCCGTATTGCATGGCAATGCTCTTTTGCATTTGTTTTGATAAAAAATACTGTTAGTACTAATATGTTAATCATTTTTCTCGCTGAATTAAATTTTATGTTTAACCTACTGTAGCTACGTTTGGAAAGACAACGTACTTATAGAGTTATATTTCTAAAAATTAAAATAACTCTTATACGACTTAACTTTGTTGCCAGTCTTTTTTTTTGTCAATCGTAACAATTTTCTCAAGAAATCATTAAATAATTCAAAATATTTATCCCGATTCTAAGAAGTATTTATCAGTTATCGAGTAAACGACTACACGGATGGCGTAGTGGTTTAAGCGATCGCCACGCCGCTTCCTACTATGCCGAGTGTTGTGAGTTCAAACCCCACATGAGACGACACTTTGTGTGACCCACAAATTAGTGTTCTGCGTCTGGGTGTTCTGTGTCCGTTTCATATATGTTTGTGAAGTCCCCCGCGACACAGGATATATTCCTAATGCGGGCGTTGTATTTTTAAAGAAAAAAAGAAAAAAAAACGTAAATACATCGTAGTTATAATGTTAATAAAAGTTAATCATTTTACCGCTACTATGTGTGTGTTATTACATTTAACAAGTACTACTGACAAAACTTTATAGTAACTATATTATTTGAAGAGGTAAATGTACCTATTAAAGAATACAATTTGAATACGGTATCTAAATTGAAGGTGTTCATATCACTCTTTGAAGTATTTAATATCCCTTGATCAATTTAACTTGCTTCGAGAGAATTTCGCTTAGAACAGTTACTGTCGCATAGTTTTAGCTTTCAACTCCTTTTAGAAAACTATTACATGAGTGCAAAAGCTTTTGTGAATAGTCTAATATCCTATGCGAAATTTCGCGGAAATGAAATGGCTGTGTGGCGCGAAATCTTCAATGTTCCCCAAGTCAGGTTCCTTTTTAGAAATAGTTTTGAAAGGAGTCGAAATGCACCAATACATTTGCATTCTAAAAGGCTTTCTCTAACTGTGGTTGGATATGAAAGTTTATAGTGTATTCAAAAGCTCTTCGTAATTTTTTGAAAAACATAAAATGTAATCAGTTCATTGCTGAAGTTGGTGAACTTATGCATATTAATAGAGAACTTTAGACATCTTTGTGTATTATTTTATGGATAGCGTCAGCATTCAAAGTATTGTTGTAATTAAGTTTGGTATAGAAGTTATTTCGTATAAATTGAGTCTTTCCTAATATTTATTATTCCATTGCTTTTCAGGTTTAGTGTGTTTTATAGTTGCACGTATTAAAGATAAATACAAAATGAAGCAAGTTTGGAGCCTTCGACCCACAAGTTCCGATTGCGGTTATTTGACTGAATATTGCCAATTTAGCTAACTGAAATTTATCAATGTTTTATTCTTGTGCCTGAAAGTCACATTTAAAGAAAAAGATTACTTCCCTACTAAGAATCATGCAATGGTTACTTACTTTATGTAATGCAAAAATAGTTGCCCGGAGTCATTTGTTGTTTTCATGATTGTAATTATTTGCCAATCATTAACAACATAACAAACATTAAAACAACAAATGGACACAAACAACATCGAGACTCGGGCAACTATTTTTGCATTACACGAAGTAATTAACCATTGCATCACATATGTTCCTATTATACCGTAAGTAATGTAGTAATGTATTAGTAATGACAGTAAAATAAA